TCGCCCCTTCGGATTACAGGAACAAATAATACAAGACTTTTTGAGCTACGATAAAAAGCGTAGAAAAAGATTTATCGTTCCAACTGCAATTTATGGTAATTTGCACGCAAAGACAGCAAAAATTGCGTCTAGCAGTAAGTGCTGGATTTTGCAACAGATGGCTCTTCAATAAGTTAGATAAGGACATTGCACGTGTTTGAGTGAGACAAAAGATATTGTACAAAATTTATTTAGAGATACCACTGACATCGAAGAGTCTGTTTTATCGGCCTCGTGCAAATTTTTTTGATCTTCCGGCATCGCCTTAAGGCGATCCTAAAGTCGTCTGTTTTATCGATCGAACGCGATTATTTTCCAAAACAAAATAAACATAATTAAAGGCAACAGATTAAAAAATCCTTCTCCACGATTAAAGTATAAGCATCAATGTAGTTCCGACTGGTAAAGGTTATATTGAGAACGCAAAAAATTTATGAAATTTAGATCTCCGTTGCTTTTTCTTAGTCCAACATGGCGTCTAGAGCTGTCACATGTGCCAATATTTGCTTCGTACAACAATTTGGCAGTTTGTTGGTACAAAATGATACCAGCCGGAACTACGAATTACATGTGCAAACAATATTGAGTTGATAAAATTAAGCTTGGATGCCTAATAAAAAAAGCTGTATGTTCTTGAAAATTTGTTACGATGTGTGCGTGAGATATCGATATGGTAGTAAATATGAACACATCACTACACACTACTACATCAATATCGCACGCATACATACTTACAAATCGTCGATAAAACAGCGAATTTTTGGAGTTTGATCTCGGGTTTAGGATCCCCTTAAGGGATGCTGAAAGGTCGGTTAAATTTGTACAAAGTCGATAAAGCAGATTCTTCAGTGGTATCTCTAAATAAACTTTTTACAATATATATCTTCTGGTCTCACTCAAACACGTGGGATGTCCTTATTTATGTTATTGAAGTGTCATCTATTGGAAAATCCAGCACTTACTGCCATACGCAATTTTTGCTGTCTTTACTCTTTACTTTAGCTGAGTACACTGAATTACTACAAATTGCGTTCTAAGGGATCATTGTTTTTCTACGCTTCCAATCGTAGCTCAAAAGGTCTTGTATTCGTAATCCAATGCGCGCGAGCTACATTTTTGTACATATAATGAGCTACAGAACTTTTGTACCAATGAAATGTTTACATTAGGTGACAGATTATGATAGCTGTACAACTCTAAAGGATAATTAGTACTTCTTTAACGTATATTTAATTATTAATTGTATTAGGTATGTGTAAAAATTTGAAGAATAATAAAATAAATATTTAGGTAATTGAATATGAATTAGATTTTTGATAATCAACATTTTTTTTGAAAATATCTTAAAAATTCTTATTTAATATATTGCGTGTTTCTATTAAATTATTTTTATGTATCTAAGAATCTTTTAAAATTAGTAAAAGTTATGCAAAATTGCTTGTATTTGAATTTAAAATTGTAAGAAAAACATCACATTATAAATAAAATATTTTGGGGAAAGATAAATATTATTACAAAAAATACCATTATCAGAATTTATTAATAAAAATAAAATATTAAAAAGTATTTTATGTACATTTTTATGTACAGATGCGTGCATGACACAACAAAAAAATATTATGCAATAAATTATTATATGAATTAGGTATACAGGGTGTCACATTTTAATTTTTTGAGGTGATCATTTTAATGATCACCTCAAATATCTCTTGAACAGTGCATTATAGGGAAAAATGTTTTAGACAAAAGTTTTGGAACTTCGAGGGGGACATAAGATGATAACATTGGTTTGACCCTGAGTGACGTCGTCAAGGTCAGGACAAGGTCACTTTGAAT